CATGCCAAGATATCTTTTATGGAAAGCTTGCTTTGGAGCAGCTCAGCTTCTGAGAGGCCATCTGGGAGAATTGAAAGCAAGCTCAATAAATCCTTGGCCCCAGAACTGAGCCGAGGACTTGAAAGTGAGATTGTGATGGACATATCCAAGTTTGACCTCCTATCATGACCACTGGAAAGCAAAGAGGTCTTTTCTGTTGCCCAACGGAGCAGGACATTCTCACACCCTTCATGGTCCACAAGATGGGCTATGAGATCCACAGCTAAAGGCATGTTATCTGTCAAAGAGAGCAGTTTGGTGATGTCCTCACTATCATGGAAATCCTCAGCAATATCAACAAATGTTTGATGTGCTGCCTCATCTGACAGGGGCTCCAAAGGCTGCAGAAATGGGTGAGTCCAGTGGACTTTTGCTGGCCTTTCTGCACCTCGCATAGTTATCTAGCAACATGTGAGTGGAAGTAACAGTAGAAATTGATATGTACTTGCCATAAGGGCCAGATGTGAAACATCTGTAAGACTTGATAAAAATTCTTCAACACCACCACGAGACTGCATTGGCTCCCACAGAGTTTCCAGATTATCAAGAACCAACAGAGAAGGACCTTTGTTGTAAAAGTAGTGCACAACTGGCTTTGTAAGGTCCTTCCCAGGCTTCAATCCTAGGTGTAACCCAATTAATGCTGCAAGTTCAATACTAGTGGTAGCAGAATCAGAAGCCACAAAGAACTGATTCTGGTATTTGGAGACAATGTCAGGGTGGTGTAGGGCAGCTTTGGCAAGGCTTGTTTTCCCCATGCCACCAGCACCTAGAATTGCTATTCTTGCAGATTCCTCATGGAGAATTTCCACAATGTGTTTAAGCTCTGATTCCCGACCATGCAATATCTTGGGCTTTGCAGGCAACATGGAAATTGAATTTGAGCTTGAGAGAAAATGAAACATGAGTGGTGTTGAGTTGAACCAGCACAGATTGTGTTACCTATTATGCAAACTATTGGACCAATGGTGAATCTGATTACAGAATCAGTTGTAGTTCGAACTTCAGTGGGGAATATATGTACCGAGGATGACCTGTCTGAAATTGTTGCATCAGAAGAGGTTGAAATTAATTCAAGCAGTTCCATGTGGATTCTTTCTGTTTCTGTTTGCATCTGAACAATGTTTCCATGCAAGCTGATGGCACCCTCCATCTGAGGGAAGTTTTGAATATTCAGGCTGAGAGCAAGTTCAAAACACATACCTTGAGCATGTCAAAAACCTTTTGTAATCCTACATGGCAGTCACTGAGCAGTGTCTTCATTTCACTCTGCCGAAAGAAGTGTTTGATTTTGTTCCCCTCTTGTTGTGCCTCTATGAATGCATAGACCTTGTGAAGTGTTCTAAATGAATTCTCAGGTGTTGTTCTAATTACAAGGGGTTAGAGGAACATACTCTGTGAGCTCTCCAAAAGCAGACAAGGTTGCAGGAGGAAGACATGATGGATTCCTAGTTTTCATGTGGAGATTGACAATAGCATAGAGCAACTCATGCAAATTTTCCATGAGCTGGATACATTCTTCTTTATTTTTCTTCACATTCTGAAATAATTATTAAGGCTGGTACCATAATTTATGATGACCACTATTACCTGCACCAGAGTGATCAGAGACCGGGTTGTATTTGCAATTGCAGGAATAAAAGGGGTGCCAAAGGCATCACTGAACTCGTCCAAGAGCGGTATGACAGGAGTCAAGCTGGCAACAATGTTGACCAAGCATGTTTCGGTGGTCATGGTTTTGGGAGGCATCTTTGGGGGGGGAGAAGGTGAGATGAAGCCTCTTTTATGTACCTTCGCAGCATCTTCCAGAATCATGATGCATCTTGTTTTCATCAGGTTCTCTGATATTAGACAGCTTGTGCAACAGCCACTGGGGCCATTTGATGGCTTGTGGAGTGTGCAGATATGGCAGGTGAGTGGCTGTGAATGGCTCCACAAAGCCACTGACATCATATTTTGGCTGTGGAGCCATTCATTTGCACACACGTCATAAGCTATTGTATGGCTCCAATGGCTTGTGCGCAAGCTGTCTATTTCAGTCAAAATACTCTCACAAGTGCAGATGTATTTCCTGCTTCTCCCGCACTTTGCATTCTATAGTGGGACAAATTTCGGTTATGTGTCCCTCTTTATAACATTATGGGCTTCTGTCTGTCCGAATGTAAGGATGCTGTCCTCACATGTGATCTTGCCTGGTATTCCCCATACCTGGTTCTCCACGTGACCACTTACTCAGCTACTTAATCAGCCACATTCTCATTCTTATATATAGCCATCATTTACCTTAATAAAACTCCCGACTTCTTCACTCTATATTCCCCCCATTGCTCGTAGCCTGGTTTGTTTCGCCACTTGGAATATATCATGGTCCTGTTAACATGTGTGTATCTTGTCCAGTTTGTCTGTTAGTGTCTGTCGAGAGAATGACAGCCTTTCACCGAAGCTTTTTAAACTCCGCCATCTCCGCTGATTGATTTCCTTGCTGCCGACCCTTTATCAACCCAGTTGCCATTGATTCATCAATTCAATATTGTTTCGGAACACATGCCACAGTGCTGAGTGCTCCCACACAATCAGCTCCATCATGTCTCTGTCAAAGACACTCTCCGCAATAAATCCCCGTGACACCTTAACTTTATTAGGCTCTAAAATTGGATTGTCTGAAGCCTTCAAACTCTGCTTGACCATCTCCAACACCTCCGCTTTTTGTCCACCTCAGGGCCTTTCTTGCTTGACTCCTTCAAATGCATGACTGGAATATGCCAGTTGAATGTGGAGAGATGTGGTGTCATGACATAACCTCCGAGACGAAGTGCCCCCGGTGCACTCTTGTCACTTCAATTCACTAGAACCTATTACTGGGCCAACATGCAAATTTTCATCAGATTCTCTGATATTTCAGTCAAAAATATTGTCACGAGTACAGGTATAATTTCCATGCTCCTCTCACACATGCTCTTTGTGACTTTGCAATGTAGTGGGATAAATCTTTTGTTGCATCACTTCCTCTTAGCACATCAATTCAATGCCATCTATTACTGCCACCATCATAATGCTGTACTTGCCTGCTTATGCTGGATAGAGGATGTGTTATCTACATACACTGATAGCAGAGAGTGAATCATGGAACTGCTTTGCACCACATGATCATCCAAGGCAGGGTTGAGCAGGGACCAAGACAATGGTGGGAGGTAGCAAGAGTATGATGAGAACAGCATAATGGAAGGTCAAATATGAGGATGGGAAGCAGTTGTAGGGTACAATGACACATCTTCTATTTACTGGGACTCAGACATTGATGGCCTAGTTCAGTGGTTTGGATAATGGGCACCTGTAAGTTGACTTTCAACCATGGGTCATGATCAGTCCACATATGAGAGAGATATTTTAGACATGAAAGACCATGGACCCAGGTGAAGTGTAATATCATCCTCGCATGGCAGCCTGAGATTGTGAGTTTCTGCACAGATGGCAGTACTGTACTACAGGAAAGTATAAGTATAACTTTGTGGACCTGGTGGCCTCTATGTGGAATACATTAGTGCACCCATTACGATCCTCACCGAGAGTCAGCACAGAATGCCAGAGGGTGGAATTTTGGGCAACTCCTGGCACTCCCTCATTCCCTACCCTTCTCACTCTCTACAGGTTGGTGTTCTTATCAGTCCAATGGTGTAGTTGGTTATCTAATAATTGAAGTACACAATCAGTCACTCTAATTCAATCATGATGTAAATCCAGAAATTCAATCTGTGGAAATTCTCGTCTCGATTGTGTCGGGCTTTCTTTAGTCACTGATGTCACGTGACCAGCACTCACTCACACGATGGAATAAGATTAGGCGACAAGCAGCACAAGGTGGATGGTACCATTCTTTAGAATTTCCTCAACTTAATTAACCACCCTAACCTTGCTAAAGCCAAAATTAGATTTAATTCACCTGTTCTGCGAGGAGCGACTGAAGGTGGCGACAGGCAGCACTAGGTGGATGGTCCAGTTCTTAGAATTTTCCTGAATTCAATTAACTAACTGCCTGACTGAAACCACAATCAGTGAGGAAAAAAGGAGCCTATGGGCAAAGTTATTGAATTTTGGTCCTGTGGTCTCAATAGGGACAGTCACAGTAGATGCTTTAGAAGCGATTATAGTCGGTGATTCAAAAACATGGGAGAATCCCTTAAATCCTTAATTGCTTTTGAATCGCTGAAGCACTTCTGGAGGTGCTTCAGCGCAATTAACATGTGATTATGATTTAATAATTGCTTCATCTTGATGACCATACAAAGTTATTGTGACTAGATAGCTGACCAATCAAATCCAATTTTCCGCTCCAGCCTCCTGCCCACTCCCACCGCAGTTTTGACTGTACTTCCTCAACCATGACCAGAGTCCCATGAGCTGCCAAGAGATGCCTAAAAATCAAAGCAAAAATTATGGAAGACTCTAAGGGAAAATACAATGGTGTCGAGTGTCTGAACAGTGAGATTCAAACTCCACAGAGTTTCTGGTTTGATTCAAGGCTGGGCCATATTTCAGTCTACCTCTTTTTGTTGAATTGCTCGCGGTTCACTCGAAGATAAATCGGAGTTGAAATTGAGGGAAAGGAGACCTAGTAGCGGAGGGACCGCACTGCTTTCAATTCTCCATAACGATGACATTAAGCAGTGGGAATCCTCCTGGTTCGATTCCAGGCTGGGTCATTCATCTTCGATTGTGACTTTTTTTGTGGTTCTTGCTTCCAAAAATGGAGTAGAAGGTAGATGTGGAGTTGAGGTAAAACCTAGTAGAAGACGGACCGCACCTGCGTTCATTAAGGCAGTCTCAAATCAATACGGCAGGAGCTCCTGGTTCGATTCCAGGCTAGGTCATACGTCTTTGTAGATCCATGTTTTGTTTGATTCATGCTTCTCACTGCCCCAAATTCTCTCATGTACTATTCAGGTTTAAATTGAGGGAAATAAGACCTAGTAGTGGATGGACCACGTCTGCTCGTGGTGACGCTATCTCCATGGATATATCTGTAGGATTCCCTGGTTCGACTCCAGGCTGGGTCATGAACGTCCTTCACACCTGCTTTTTGTTTGATTCGTCATGAAAATTCTCTAATGTATCAAAGTTGAAGGAGGGAAATAAGACCTAGTAGCGGACGGACCGCGCCTGCTTCCAATTCGGGTATGCCTGAGGATTTAAGCAGGAAGTAATCAAATCCCTGGTTCGACGGGCTAGGTCATTCCTTCTCGATCGTAACTTTTTTGTTAGATTCGTGGTCCTCGCTGCCAAAAGTAGAGTACAAGGCAGACCTGGAATTGAGGGAAGAAAGACCTAGTAGCAGAGGGACCGCGCCTGCTTTTAGTGATCTCGCAGACTGCGTTGACAGGAGTTTCTGGTTCGACTTCCGAGACATTTTGCTCCATTTGTGGTTCTCGCTGCTACAAATTCCCGCATGAATTAAAGTTGAAATCGAGGGAAATAAGACCTAGTAGCGGATGGACCGCGCCTGCATTCAGCGGCAATACTTACAGATTTCTGCTGCAGGAACCCCTGGTTCGACTCCAGGCTAGGTCATGTGGATAGTCTTTCGAAACTTTTTGTTCGATTTGTGGATTTGCCGCTCCAAATTCTCTAATCTATCAGAGCTCAAAATGAGGGAAACAAGACCTAGTAGCGGACGGTCCACACCTGCCTTTAGTGGACAAAATGTGACACATTGAGCAGGAATGCTCCTGGTTCGACTCCAGGCTAGGTCATTGTCTTCTTGTATCTTACACTTTTTTAGTCTTGCTGCTCAAGTTCTTCAACCTATCAGAGGTTAAAACTGAAGGTAACGAGACCTAGTAGCGGACGGCCCGCGCCTGCTTTAAGTGATCTAGATGTGATCGCATTACGCAGCGGGAATATTAATGCTCCTGGTTCAACTCCAGGCTAGGCCATAAAAGTCCTCGGTGGATATTTTTTTTCTCTTGCTCTTCCTTGGTTCTTCCTTTGTAAGCTTTGAGCTATAAAATGCGTCTATCCGGCGCCCGTCCACATCGCGTAGCGAGGCCATTTTTCTTAGAAGCCATCACTGCGAATTTCCTCAGAAGTGATCCATGACAATTTCCCCAGACCAACTAGTAAAGACCCCGGCCGGTTAGCCGAGCGGCCCACGCCTGATGACGCGTCAACAGGCGCAAACTCTGACACACGATGATATTGCCCCGCTTTGAGGATCTCGTCCGCGTCCACGTCGCGTCTTCCTTCGTCGTCGCGCTCGTGAGTCAGTAGTTGTGTAATCTTTCAGGTGAGTGGGTAGATGGGTTGGATGGATGGTGAACGGGCGGGCTGCCAGTGATTGATATCGGTATCGGCAGGACTCGAGTGAGATTGATATTGGTACATATTGCCGGCAAGCATCGCATTAGGCTCCAGGTGAGTTTCGGAGTTGCGGCAAACGGACGTTGGATGGTTGATAGCCACCAGGACCAGCTTTACCGCAAAAGCCACCGAGCCCGCCGCCTGTACAGTGTTTTTAACGGAAAGCCACCGACTTGGACTCACAACCCGCACACGCGTTATACTGACGACGGCGACGCGTCCCACACCGGTGAGTAGGTATCACGGATGGATGGAAAGTTTCGTGTTACTGATACGAGAACCGCCACAGACTAGTACCAGGTGAGATATTTATTTCATTTGGCAGATGGAGATGGACGGCTGATAATTAAAACCAGTTTATTCGGACCCGTGCCTTCGCCACGGTGACGCCCGCACACAGTGGATACAGAGCTCTTCCCGCACACGGCGGATACAGAGTCGGGGGGTTCGCCCGCACACAGCTAATTCCGAGTCGTGGGACCCGGCGGCAACACCTCGACAGCCGGCAGCAACATCTCGACAGCGTCCCGTGACTTTTCATGTGACTTTTCATGTGACTTTTCATGTGACTCGGCTAATTGTGTTTTAATGTATAGGACATGTGACTCGGCTAATTGTGTTTTTTTTTTTTTTTTTTTTTTTTTTTTTTTTGGAGCGTTTGATAATACAACTCAGTCTGCAAAGCATTCCAAGCATATCCGCTGTTTGAATTGGGGTAAGCCAATATAGCCGGGAAAATGTCCAGGAGGAAATGCCGTTACGCACAGGTTTCAAACCTTCGTGTGGGACTCTGGCCGTCAAGTTAACCTACTCCATTTTTTCGAGTAATGGGCCATATACCCACTAAAACCCCCTTTGATCTTGTCCAGTCATCCGGCAGGGAATCTTCATCAAGGAGTGTGCCACTCCAGGTGTCAAGCACCAGTTGCTTTTTAATTGCGAGAGAACCAAAGCGAGCTTGATTGGTGAGCAACATGTCTCTTTTCAGGGCGTCGTTTATCAGTGACACCCAGCGATTTTGTATTTCCTTTTCTGAGGCTGGTGCATGTATCTCAAATACTCTTTCATTCCTCAAGTTCCAGATCAGTCTCATTGATGTCGAGACAATCTTGGTGAAAAAACGGTTCTGGGCTGGTCCAGTTTTACCTTTAGGAGATTTGAATCTGGCAAGCCCGCAACCTAAGAGTAGCCCCCAATTTAGTTTGGGCAAGGTGGGATATCTGAACTTCCAAAGTATCTCGGTCAGTCGCCACACTTGTCGCTGACCAGGAGCATCACATTCTAACATAATATGTTCAAGTGACTCTGGCACTCGACATTCTGGGCATTGTCCAAAATTTTCAAGGTTAGGTATATGGTCCCAGAACGAACCAACGCGGTAAATGTTGTGCATACTCTTCCAGAGGAAATTTCGAGTTAGTCTGTGGATATTGGAGGACCTGATCGAGGTCCAAATGGCACCGTCAGTTGGCTGGTATCCAAATGTTTCATCAATACAGCATCGTATACGTTCGAGATTGTATGTTGCTGATTTCCGTGTGGGATTCACCTTCAAGGATCTGATTAATTTCGTGAATAGGTGTTGGCTTCCTTCCTGTAGTAGAATTCCGGGGCTGGCAAACATGAGGTCTGGTTGTATATCCAAAGATACTGGAGTGGGAGTTAGTGTAGATAGTCCTGTTGCTGGGTTAGTTTCCACCTTCTTAAAGCGGATTCTGCCAGATCTCTCTTGCAAGGTGGACACAACAGATTTTATCAGGTCATAGTTTGGGCCCAGCGGGTTGTTTTCGCTGTCATTACGATTCGTCACAAGGGCCTTGCCTAAGAAGTTTGAGCAACAATGAATATTGAGTGGAATATCTTGAGGAAGTTCTCGTGCAATATACAACAAGCCACCAAGGATCGCAGTGTTGAATGAGGGGGGTATTTTCTTGTCAAGGAAGGAGAGGAGCAGCAAGTGCTTCATTACAACATCTGGATTATCCCTTGTGCGAACCAGCAGCATAACCTCCATCTCTGCATGTGCCTGGCCTGGATGTTTAATTTTGGCATGGAGATATACATCATGTGTGGTTGAGTCGGCCTGTCGCAGCTTGAATCGTTTTGTTGGAACTTGAGTCATGTGGTCCTCAAATGCAAAGATTCGGAAACCTTGTGAAAGGCCTGGCAGACGGAAGTCCGGATCAAAAGTCAGTTCCTGGTAGCCATTGTCGTTTCTTGCTTTCTCTTGCTCAGAGAGGGCAAGATGCTCACACAGATCACTGTTGGCTATATTGGGGTTCCATTTTGGGTGGATACATTCAAGCAATATCTTGACAGCTTCAACACATTCCCCGGGGTTATCACAGCCGTACTCAAGCCGATCTCGTCGACACAGTGTGCATCCACAATTTTTGCGCCCAATTCCGGAGGGATTAATAACATGTGGATGTCTTGGCAGGATAGTTCTGCGCCCTGCGATTTGTACGATGTCTGCCACACTTCGTACCCGGTGATTTTGTAGCAAGCATTTTACTGCATCTTTCCTGCGGACTTTCTCAAATTTTGGTCCAATGAGCGCTATGTGGCCCCACAGGGGCAGTTGGAGCTGGATATCTTTCGGGATGGAGAGTGCAGTAAACTCCAGGTGATATTTTTTGGCCGCTTGGATCATACGTTGGATATCGTATGCTAATGGCTCCTTTCTCCACAGAGGGATATGATAACTTTGCAGGAAAATGTTATACAATGACCCGTGTTTACCCGGGGCTTGGCTCGCATTCCAACGGTTTATAATGGTATGCTCAGCAAAGAACGGCCAGTTTGCTCGGTCATCTCCGGTTCGCAGAAATTCTTTCAGGTTCCACAGGTCAATTGCCTCATTCCTCGAATGTATGTCCAAAATTTGCTTTCCGCCTTCGTCTAGTGGAAGGCACATGGTATGGTGGCCTATGCGCGGCTTCTTTCCTTCCCAGAGAAAATCATCTCGCATTTTAGTTATTGTTTCTTCAATTTCTTTGGGCATGCCCTGGACGCGAGTCAGGTACTGTGTTTTTCCGCCAATAATCATGTTGATTACGTGCCTTCGCCCTTCTAAAGTAGGATTCTTTGCATTCCATCGGGTTAGGTCTCTCGAGATTGTTTCAATGACCTCGGGCCACGGGGTCAGGTAGGGTACATCATTCCCAACCCATGCTCCAAGAAACCGGCAGGTTTGCTGATCTGGAACAATTGTGAGGTCACTGCGGATCTGAGTTGATGTCGGGCTCATTCTGCGGTTTAGGACAACTTGCTTTCGGTATTCTGCAGAGCCAAACGGTAAAATGATGGTCTTTTTCGTATTAAATTTTGCTGTGGAAGCGGTACACCACAGATCGAGCACTTGCCACAGTGTTGTCCACGAGTCTGTGTTTGACAAGTAGATAGTTGTGTCGTCGGCGAAGAGGGAAACCAGTAATTTACGGTTAGTTCCGGGCACTCTTATTCCGTTGAGATCAGAGTTTCGCAGCAAACAGGCTAGCGGCTCAATGGCGAGGTTAAAAAGGAGGCAGGAAAGTGGGTCCCCTTGACGGACCCCCCGGATTACAGTAAAGGGTTCACTCATTTCACCATTGATCATTACTCGAGTCCGAGCATCAGTGTACAGAATCTTAACCAGGCTGCGGAATTTTTCCGGAAATCGCATTCGTTCTAGGACTGCTAATAGGTAGTCATGGTCCACTTTATCATACGCTTTCTCCTGATCAAGAGCAACCACAATTCCGTTCTCTTCAACGGCATCGGCATAGTTGAGTAAGTGTTTTAGTTGTTTCACTTGGGCCTCAATTTTACGTCCTTTCATGAACCCAGCTTGATCGCGGTGTATGATTTCAGGAGCGATGTCTGCGAGTCTCAGTGAGTGCGCTTTCGTTAATAATTTATAATCAACGTTCAGCAGTGTGATAGGGCGGTAGTTGGCGACCTCCGCACGATCACCCTTTTTGTATATTGGACACATCCAACCTGTGTTGAATTCAGTGTCTTGGACTACTCCATAGGTCTCGATATCTCCGAAGAGGGCTTCCAGAAATTCCATGATGTCTAAAGCATTCTCCTGGTCCTTTCCGAATTCAATTTCTAACCATTTGTAGAATTCATATGGCAGTCCGTCTAACCCGGGGGCAGAGCCATTTTTCGACATTTTCAGGGCAATTTTCAGCTCAAAAGCAAGTAACCTGTTGTTCATTGAATCATGTTGAACTTTATTCAGATGTGCTTGGCACTGCTCAAGTACCATTGATGTTGCAAGGAGTTTTGCGTAGGCATCGGGCTTGTCTTTGTGCTGTACACTGTCATGGTATGCGCGCCCTATCTCCGCCATAAATTTCGGCCTAGATTCGTATTGGGGAGCTGCCGCAGCCGGGTTGGGTTTTAC